ACAACAACAATAACAAAATGCATACATTAAATTATATGGGGACCAAATTTATGAGCAAACCACGGCCCAAACCGATGATGATGCATCATCATCATCATCAACATCATATCAGCAGGCAGTAACGACAACGAAAAAAAAAAAAAAACAAAACAAACAAAATAACCAAAAAAAAAAAATGATGATGGTCACAGAAAATGTTTGCAAAATTCCATATAAAACATCCATTATATGCATAAAAGAAACCAAAAAAAAAAAAAAAATCACATAACTACAAATCACGATTGAATCGGACAAAATGTTTTTTTTTGTTGACTGATCGAATGAATCTATGGATGATAATTTTAAGAAAATGAATATAACTACTTGTGAGATGTTTGCATGTTACAAGATTTATATTCACAGCCAACGGCAATGTCCGAATCATCGTCATCATCATCATCATCATTGATCACCAATTCAAATGACCAGAACAAGAAAAAGTTTCTCATCATAAAAAAGATTAATGTTTTATAAATTGAATAAATGAATGAATAAAAATTTCAAGATTTGATTGATGTGTAATAGAATAAATTGGATGAGAATGTAAACAGAATGAAGAATAATGGTTGCTATAATTATTTTATAACCTTAAAACATTGATCATTACTTATGATAATAACAATAATGTGAAAATCATCATCTTTGTTAACAGATTCACAATTCACAATTCTCACCCTTCAATTTTACAACAACAACAACAACAACAATGTTGAACCTCTTTGATTGTTTTTTTGACTATGACAATAAATTATCATCAAAGGTGACAACAACAACAACAATCACATAAATGACAATGGATATGAACAGATTCCGGTCATGGTAATTATGTTATGGTGAAAAAAGAATTGAAATTCTCATTCTCATCATTGTAATTTTCGGTTTATGAGAACTGTAATGAATTTTTTTTTTTTTTTGGTCAGTTTTTTATTCTGAGAGTTGCATTGCATGATGAGAAAATTGAATAAAAAAACACACACATGTAGGTCTTTTCATATGGAAAATTGTCAAGATTTAAGATTGATTAAAATGGATTTTCTATCTCTCTTTCTCTCATTATTGTAGCATTTTTTGTTAGTCGTAAAATATGACACACACACACACACGCCCGATTTTCTAAGTATGTGAATGGAAAAAGATGATTTTTTTTTACTCTATTCATCAAGATAACTGAATCAATTTCCGTTTTTCAATCTGTCAATTTTTTCTGATTCCTGGTTTATTTTTGCGGTCTTTTTTTTGCAGAAATAATAATCAACATGGTTTTAACCATAGTGATTGGATGGTGACAAACTGGCAGGACTGGAAAAAAAAGATGGAAACCATGTCTACGTGAATGTATATTTTCCTAGCCTTTTATCATAACCAAAAAAAAGTTTTTATCACCAATATAATAATTCAATGTTTGATTATTGTTCAATGGAATAAAACACACACACACACACAGGAAATAACAAACGTCAACAATTGACCAAAAATATACAAAAAAAAACTGATAGACAAATCCCGTGTGTGTGTGTGTGTGATCGAAAATAAGCTAGGCTATTTTATCCGATCATCATCATCATCATCATGTATGACAGAATAAAAACGGTTAAAACCGATTTTCAAATTGATGAATTCTGTGTGTTATATTGAAATCCCCAATGGAGCAGTTAAGGTTAAGTCGTGCGAGTCCAAAATGATTTTATTTCCATGAACAACAACAACAATGTGTGTGTGTGTGTTCAATGAACACCGGTTAGAAAAGTTTGATGAACAAATGTTTGACCAATAAAAAAAAATTCGTATTACAAGAATCGGGCCTCCACCCGTCCGTGTATGTGTGTGTGTGTGTGTGTTTGAAATTATCAATGAATCTCGTAAATCCGGAATCGATATATAAAAAACTAAACCGAGTGAAAAAATTTATTATTACCGTTTTGAACCCCATTCTATGTTTTTTTTCAGACAATACATACATATCTATCTATAGATCTATGTATCGAGGGCAAACATTTTTTTTCCTGATATCATCATCTCTCGGGTACTGTTTCTTTTTTTTCGGATTAGATCCAATATAGCCACAACAACAACAACAAAAAATGTAATAATAAAATCAAATTAAAATGATTCACTCGATATTTTTAGCTGTTTGTTTTTTATTTCTAGGTTTCTGAATCTATAGATTCCAAGTCGACATGGATCGTCCCGTAATAATAATAATAATAAGTCGAAATGGCCGGGAAAATGTTTCCGATTTAAATTCTATGATGATGATTCAAATATTTGAAGCTAAAGTCAGTTAGAATGATGTTTGATGTGTGTGTGCGTGAATGATCAACGAAGCAGAAATAACTTTATTTTTTTTATTTTTTTTTTGAAAATAAACCTAAATATATGATGGTGCAGAAATTTTTTGGACCATGTATATATTACTGTGTTGACGATGTTGTTGAATTTTAAATTTTTTTAAATGAAAAAAAAATCTTAGAAATGGCCAAAGATTCTGTGGGCAAAAAAAAACAAGAGTGTGAAAAAATGTAATAATGATTACACAAGCGAAATGAAAAAAAAAACTGAATCTACACTGATTATATACCACCAATGGTGAATACAATACAAACAATGAGTATTAGAATCCAGCCATAGTCATTGCAATTGTTGAACAAAAAAAAACACACACACTTTCGACACTATTTCATGATGGACCCAGAAGAAAAATAAAAAAAATGGAATAAATTATGGGAAACAAACACAGACTGATACACATAGAGAATGACTATAGAATCCAATGGCAACACACACAAATATATAAAGACAATAATGTTTGTATGTGTATGAGAGAATAACTAGAATTTTTTTTTCAAATTAAAATTGTAAATTCTTGTTGTCCAACAACGATGATGATGATGATGACGAAGATGATAACGAATGGATGTATTTGAGTTGCCCTGGTTTTATTTTTTTACTTTTGTTACCAAACTATTTTCTTGTTGACATTGTAACAAGCGAAATAGAATTTTTGTTCCTGAAATCCTAACACAAAACTTTTTTTTTCTTTTCCATTCATTTATTCATTCTTTGTATACAATAATATTCTTCTTGTTACTTTTTAGCGACAAAATGCAAAGAAAGAAGGTGAAAAAAAAATTTGTTTGTCTAGGCTTTTTTTTTGTGTAATTCACGAGAAACTTTTCTTTTAAAAAACATTTTCAAAGATCATGTCGTAGAGGACAATGTTTAACTGACTTTTTAGAATATTTCACAGAATATTTCAAGGTTGTTATTTTTTGTTTGCTAGAAAAATTTCCATTACTTTTCAATTGAAGTAGATTTAAAATTGTTGTATTTTTTACTTTTCATCATTATTATTTTTTTGAAATTCTTGAATTTTTTTTTCTGCATCTCAAACACTGTTTTAAAATAGAAAATTTGTCACATATGTGTGTTTATGTTGAACATATTTTCACTATCATCAATCGAACTTTACAATCTTCAGAATTGGCATCGAAAATACTGACAAAATATCGATTTCTATTTGGTTTTCTATGTGTTTCCTAATGAATCTCTGTAAAATCATTTGTCATCTAGAATAGTATTATGTTACACGAAAAAAACTATTCCAAAATGATGATGATGATGATGATGACGCTAACGATGATGAAAAATCAGCCAACCATAATTTTACCAAATATACAATTCTTTATTCTATCATTGGGACAGTATTTTTGCACTCAATTAAATTTTCATTTGCCCAAATTTAGGTTCATATTCAAATACCCGTACAGACAAACAAAGCGACCAACAACAATGGCAAAAGATAATAATGTTTACCACCATTGTTTCATATATTTGATACGCGGAAACCAAGAATGAAACGAAAATGAAATTATCAAAGAAATTTATCATCAAAAAAGCAGAAAATGAAAAAAAATTATAGCCTTTTTTTTCGTTGATCTTTGTATTTGAACAACAGAACAATGATAAAGTCGACAACATAATATTCTGACTATTGTACTGTGCAAAAAAAATGATGATCATCATCATCATTGGTATAACAGAAATGATTTTGAACGGACGCCTGGACAATGTCTTTTTTTTAATATTTTCATTTCATCTGATAAACAAGTCTGATATCATCCAACCAGCAACAACAACAACAACAAAAAAACAAGATGACATCATTGTCAATGTTGGGCACAATTTATATTGATTATGTCAAGCGAAAAACCAATAACCGAGGCAGAAAACAACCATCACTATATGGCCATGATATCATTATGAATTCAACAACAACAACAACAACAAAAAAATCGACGCAAAGAATTTAAATTTTTCTTTTTGGTCAATTTGTTGTATTTCTTTTTCCATTTTAACTATAGATATGGGGACTAAATTCGAATTTTGAAATTTAAACACCAAAGAAAATGAGCCAACGAATAAAAATTTTCAAATATTCACCCATCAATTGGATTTATGAGTTCAAAATGTTAGCCATGTTCACACATTCAAGGGGAAAAAGTCATATCATTTTGATAATATGAAATTTGGACGATAAAAATGTCCAATTAGTGAGGAAAAAAATTTTTGTAGATATGCATCTTCAGATGACCAAACTGGCAATGAACATTTTTTTCAATTAATAAATTGAATAATGAGCATGAAAAACAAAAACAACAACAAGTAAAAGAAAATGTTTTAATTATCATCATCATCTAATAATAATTGGAGATAATTTTGATCCATTTTAATTGCTTTATTTTTTTTTCTTGAAATGAAAAATTTTCCATTTTATTATTATTATCGAAAAATTTTAACTCGGGTTATAACACACACACACATGCATATATGCAAAATAAAAAAACATTAAAGCGAATAGAATTTTTCAAAGAGAAATAAAATTTTGATATTGAAAAATTTGAAAAAATGATAATTTCGTTCCATTTTTTTTCATTAAGAAATTTTGTCATGAATTATTCGATCTAATATTGATAATAATGTTGTTGAAGTAATTTTTGCAATGATGTTAGAATCTGATAAAATTTTCTAAATGGTGAACGTTGACATTGTGATTGTCGAAATGTTTCTTCACAATCGGCCCAACCAAGTCCACGTAACATTGCCATTGTATTATTATCATCACTTGCAACGTTCAATTGATCAACGGCTAAACGAATATAAGTAGCCACACGAGGCCAATAACTATGGATATGTTGACCAATTTCACACATAGCACGCGATTTACATTCCTCTTCACGAATGTCCAGCAATTTAAATGAACGTTCCGGGACTGATCGTACCGAATTCGAAATAGTATCATAATCAATATTATTCAATGATTCTAGATCGATAAATGAAATTTTTGCATTCGGATCCATTTGCCATGGAGCAATCAATGAACTAGCATAAATAAATGTGGATACCAAATAGGAAACGATTTTTATGGCACCATAGATTATGATACTTGGTATGAATGTTATTGGATCGACCATACCATTACCGAAACCATTTTCTTTTGCCAATTTCTGTGCAGCCTGATACATTTCATTTGTTTGTGTTGTAAATTTTGTGACCATGTTCAACATTTCGATAGCCGAATTTATGGGCGAATCTTGCTGCTTCTGCTGCTGTTGTGATAATTGTTGTCGTTGTTGACGTGGCAGCCTGGCCGGCACTGGAACAGGATTTATTGACGAAATTTTTTCGATAACTTCTTGTTCAGCATTTGTCTCATTAGTTTCATTAGATGCACAAAGATTCGTCATTAATGTGACGATTAAAAAAATGAAAAACACAATCGAAAATTTCATTATTATCAATTTCGAAATTACCGAGCATCAATCAATGACAATGGCACAAAATGAAATGATCAACCAGACATGTTTGGTCATCGATTTAAATAAACTTTGTCCAAAGACCACCAACCAATCTATCTGAGAGACACACCTTTAATTCACCTTTAGTTCAAAATTTGGACCTAGCTTACATTTTTGGACCAGACAGAGACAAAGACCAAGATAAGACAATTGGAGCCAAATAGCAATTCATTTTTCTTTGAGAAAAAATCCTTTCAAAAATTCTTGATCGATGAATAACGTTTTCCATGAGAATGTATGGTGACCATCGTTGTGATCATCGATCAATGGCGCTATAGTGATACTATAGCTATGTGACATGTTTTATGGCTATGGATCGTCGTTGTCAATGGCAAATCAAGCTGACCAGCCATAAATGTTTGGCTACCTGTGGTTTGGAAAATAAATTTCATTTCAATTTTGATTGTGATCAATGGTGAATGAAGGAGAAAAAGAGATAAGAACAAAAAATATATCGAAAAAAGTTGATTTATTTAGAGAAAAAAAGACAAAAAAAGAAAATGTTATTGAAGTAAATATTGTGTTTAGATTTTTTTTTTCATTTTGATCTAGGAATATAGTTAGTTTGCTGTTGTTGTTGATTTGTATAATATGGGTTAGCAAAATTTTGTGGAATAAAGGTAAATTGGGGATGAAAAAATGGTTGTGAAAAACCGTTTGGGATCCAGAAATTATTCATTGGATGCTGCTGCTGTTGTTGTTGTTGTTGATGTTGCTGTTGTTGTTGATGATGTTGACAATGTTGTTTGGCATTTTGCTGTTGACATTTTTTTTCAAATAACGATTCGTAATAAAAAATCAAAGATTTAAGCTCTTCAAGTGTATAGGCACGATGCTGTGTATTATAACGAATAGAATGTATTAATGAATCGAATTCAGCTGGTAATTTCGATAAGAGTAATTCTTGGATAATATTTTCATCGAATTGAATACCATACATTCTAAGATGTTCGATCATGGTGAAAAATTGCGTACAATAATCACGACTTTTACCCTTTTGACATTTCAAACGTATGAATGTAATAAATGTCGATTTAGAGCGTTCAAAATATCCGGTCAATTCGGTCCATAAGTGTTTTGCATTTCGTTCATTTCGAAATCGTTGTCGTAATGTACGATCCAAATGTTTGTATATGAATAATAATGCTTCGGCATTCATTTCTGATGGTAATGATGGATCATTTTCATTGCCCCAGACGACTTTATCTAAATCTTTTTCCATCAATCTAGTCATCATTAGAGTTCGCCATTGATTATAATTTGAGAAATTCAAAATGGGAATATCTTTTTGTTGATTATGATTCGTTTGCTGTTCCATGTTTTCAACTTGTTAAAACAAAGCAAGCTTAGTTTCAAATGATATAGAAAAATTAAAAGTGAATCACAAATTAATCACATTTTCAATAAATTGAGCAACTTTTCATGCCTGTCATATATGACGTCTATGGAAAAATACCAATGCAAAATTTTCATTAGGATATATTGAAACAAAATTAGTCATTTTTATTATGAATTGATTATTATTATAATTAATTAGTTACAAATGTTAATTGAAAAGTTTACAATCAATGATTGTTATATAATGAAATATATAACTACGGAAAATTGAATTTTCTTAACGTAAAGGGCAAAATTCATCATCACCATCAGATCTGCCTCCTGGCGTTCGTCCTGGAGAATGTTGTTTCAATCGGAGACATATGATACAAATGATACCTATATATAAAAAGCTAATGTCATGGCAACGTGCCGACAACGTAAAATTGTTCGGTCCAAAATCTTCATCAATGGAATGGAGAAGAAAATGTCCTGTATAAATCACTATGGCAACACATTTGGATGGCATGAATTCCATGGTATGTGTAATGTGCAATCTAACAACCCAGTGAACAATAACAACAAAAAACCTTGTCTTTGGCAAACTAAATAGAAAACTACACTATCGCATTATGTTTCATCGGTTTATCCCAAATCAAACTAGAATTCAGGTCAATTTTCTAAATTCTGTACTGAAATTATTATTTACAAATACCACCCAAGAATATTTACATCATCATAATCATCATAAAAATCATATAAATGTTTGACATCGTTACAGCCAAATGTTCATGTGTTTGTGTGTGCCATTAAACCATATCTATGTGAATGTTTCGAATAAAATATATCAGACATTATATTATCCGTGAAAGATAGAAGATATTATCAACATCATCATATCCGAGTCAATTTAGAAATTCTTTCTTTATCGTGTTCGCAATTCTGTATATGTAGATTATTTATTGTTGTCCATGGTCATGTTATAATAGCATCTCATCCTTTTTTTTTGTATCGTTCCTAAATATATGTGCGATATTTATCATGACGTTGATGATTCAAGAAAAATCCAGATAAACCGAACAAAACCGGGGTGATTGCTGATGACAACAAAAAATTCTATCCATAAGAATAATAGCTGTTCACGAATTATATTGAAAGAATTGAATATATTGCCATCCGATTTGGATACTGAAGGTATTACTGATGGTTTGACATCACAATTTTTTTTTCTCTGTTAGCGATTCTATTTTCATGATAACATTCTTACCAAAATATTTTGGATGTAATATTTATTCTCTCTTGTGGAATCATGCTATATGTGTTGTGTTTGTTAATATAGATGTAATATTTTACGCCAAATTAATTGGAATCGATCCAATATCCGAGCCGGAATTATTGTGGATAGCTCGAGCCGGATTGCTTTCATCATTACCATCTGGTTGGATTGCCGTGTACGTGATCAACTTTTTGTGATTTTCCATTTTTTTCTCTACTAGTCGTTGGCCACTATTTTTTCATTATATGAGAATCACCAATTTTATTGATTGATTAATCTTGTTTTATATTTTTTTATTCCATACCCTCTTTTGTATCCCACTCTCTTTTCTGGTATTATTTTAACAACAGTGAAGATCGAAAAGGTCGACTTTATTATTACGATCAGCAGAATAAAAAATCCAGCTGGGAACATCCAACCGATTCATATTATCGTACATTGGTTGTACGATATCGGAATTCCTATTCGGCTATTGTAACCAATGACAATCGTACACCAACATCATCATTATCATCTTTGGCTGCATTGGATACTATAGCTACTAATCCATCTTTCAACCAACACAATAACCAAAATCAAACAACAAGCATCAGCAGTGGAATTGCAACAATTACATCCAATTCAATCGAATCATCATCAATTTTGAATAAAAATCAAAATAGCAATCCTTATAACATAATGAGTGGGTTCGCCATCAATGATATCAATCGTGTTGGCCATTTTAGTTCAATTGCTAATTTGCATTTTTTCGACGACAACGAAGATGATGATGATGAAAATGAACTTGCAGAAGCTGATCAACCACAAGTCAACTCTATCCGTATGTATTCATAATGTTTGCCAAGAAAGCCAAACAAATAAACAAACAAACGAAAAAAAAAATCCATTACAGTGGTATCGATGTTCACGATGGCCAGTGCTAACACTGATAACGAATTTTGCTCGTTAACCAAGTTGCCACCGTATATACAAATGGCCACCACCCTTAATTTCGAATATTATCGGTGGTGGTCAATGACAAAAAAAAACTGGTCATTGAAATAAAATAAAAAACCACACAGGTTCGATGGTTTGATTGCCTTCGAGCCATTTTCATGATCATCTTAATCATTATCAGACTTCACCCGGGGTTGTACGTTGTTCGGACGAAATGAACAATTTATCTGTAGGTTCTTGTATCAAATGTCATTTGAAGTACTAGAAAAGAAATATTTCAAACACACTAATTGCTTTGATCATTTAAAATTTTCAAGAAACAAAAAAAAACAAAAATTTAAATTTCAACTTATTCATTAGAATGTAGTCGAATGTTTACCACAAGAAAAACTGATCGTTATCTTTGTTTTTGTTTATTTGGTTGCAACTAATTTGATTTTTTTGCCGTATAAATTATTAAGTTAGAAACGAATGAATGTTGCAATTCGGAAAAAAATGTCCACCAAAAAACCACAAGTAACAATGATACCATCCAATGATTCGAAAGTTTTGAATGTCTTGTATGAATCGATTCCTCTTACGATTCGTGATGATGATCGATCGATCGATTATTTTATCGATCAAATTGATTGATTGGCTCTAGCTACTTGTACTTGGGCAATTGAAACAAAATTTTTTTCGTTTGTTTGTTTGTTTGTTTGTACAATTTCCATTCTATTCTATCTAATCCTTTTTTTCTACTTGTCGATAATTGCCTTTGTTTGAATTTTAAAATTTGCATGTATATAAAACCAAACAGAAACAAACAAATCGACATCGATTACAGATAAATACAAGCCATCAGTGGATAATAATGATAATGGAAATCATGAATCGAAATCATCATCGTCATTAGAATCGGTTGAATTTGAAATTGAAAATATTGATGAAGAATTGATTGAAGAAGTTGATGATAATGATGATGTGGATGAAATTGTTGAAATTATTGATAGTATCGATGAAGTCGTTGATGAAACTGAACCAGAATATCATAAAAATCAACATTCAGATGATGATGATGAAAGCATAGCTTCATTGAAAGCAGTCGTATTAATGAGAAATTCCACAAATAACAATGAAGAACAAACATTGGAAACGAAATCAACAATAGCTAAAATCGAAACACCGGCAACATCTATGAAAAAAGGTAATTTTCCCATTTGAATTGATTTTCATTTCTTTTGTTTTGTTTGTTTATTTTGATTCTTATATTATTATTCGAAAATTTGATTGAGATTTACGGCCCGAATATAAATAGCATAAAATTGGAATCTTAATTTAACAGAAAAAAAGCGAAAATTTAAATTACACACTCTCGAATACGATAAAAAAAGAAACTGATCCATTTTGATGATGATGATGATGATGATGCCGGCACTGCAAAAAGTTTTGTTTTATTTTATTTATTTCATTGAGTTTGAGATTTACTTATTTTCACGCTGCTCTGTTTTGTTTTTGTTTTCTCAAGCATCATTATTTTCTGTGAATATCGTAAAAAATCCAAAATGCCATTGTTTTTTTTTGGTAGTGATGATGATGATGGTGATAGTAAAGGTATTTTTATTCACCATACAATAAACTATATATACGATACATGGATCTAGATGTGGAGCATTTTGGTATTATTCAAAATGAACCAGTTTTTTTTATCATGAATAAGAAAATGTTTTTCTATTTTTCTCATTGCTGTCTTTGTAATTGTCGTAAATCTTAATTATGTGTTCAAAGCTTTGAAATAGATGCCAACGTTAAAAGCTTGCTGAATTAAAGATTCTTGACTGACTTTTGATTTTATACATTAAATAATTCTAGTTTCGTTTCAGATGTGAATTTCTGTAAAGCTTTAATGATAACGAAGATGAGCAAAAAAAAAAAAATAAACGAAAAATTTCATTCCAATTCGGAACGACACTTTATCTGTCCGAATCGAAATTCTAGCCAAAAGAATAAAAAAAAATGCGTTCGCTCCATCTGTAACTGTCGACTGTAATATAAATCCAGAGATTCTTCAATGATTCTCATTGATGGTTTTTCAACATTTACCATAGTTACATTCTAGTATAAAATGTTTTGGCCAATTAGCCATCACCTCACATACACACACACACACACACAATTTTTGGCGCCTAGACTTATTATTATTATATAATATGGATAGATGTTTCGCAGTAAAACTAATGACCAGATTGGACGACACGGAAAGAAGAAGAAGAAAAAGAAAAACGAATCTGTTCACAATTAACACCCATCATCAGGCAACAGAAAAAAAATTCAGAATCTGTATACACTATGGATACAGATACAAAAAAAAAGCTACAAAATAGTTTTTCTCATTCGAAATTATTGGTTGTTCAGGGGTATTATAAACGAAAATGACGATGGGCTATTTAGGCCCACTCTTTTCACAAAAGAATTATAGAAAAAAAAATACAACAACATCTATTAGTGATGATGATTTTATGTTTTCAATAGGGGGAAAGAAAATACTAGGGATTGTACTAACGCTAAATACCATGTAATAATAACATGACGAAAGTGGTTCCCAAAATAACAACAATCCGCCAGCCATCATCATCATCATCGGATTCTCATTGGGACCATCATCCATTCATTTATTTAGTTTGTTTGTCGATTCTTTCCAACAACAACAACAACAAAAAACTAACTGGTTTGATTTGTTTTTCAATCGTTTTCATGTGTATACGAATACTAGAATTTTGGTTTGTTCCAACCATGATTATGATGGTGATAATAAGTTAATAGCAAAAAAGAATTGACATTATTATTGTTAGGATACATATCTCTTGTCATTCTTAGTTCACCACTACCACCATCACCACTTATGACATAGATCATCATTTATTTATATCCCATCCATACATCCTCTTTTGGATTCATTCATTGTAATATAGTTATCATATGAACACAATATGAAATTTTGGAGAAAAATTACACAAACTAAGAAAAAGAGGAAGAAAAAAAGATTCAGGCCATTTGTGGAATAGCAAAAAAAAAATTGGCATTAACATTTCTTAAAATGTTCAAATAGTATCATTTTACCATTTTGGGTGAAAAAAAATCATTCATGATTTGCTATATTTGATGCTAATTGAATTTCCATTATTTTTTTTCATACCCACTATGTATTTGATACATATACAATTCGGTAATCAATCACACACACACACACACACACACACGTTTTAAAAGAGAGTCTTGTTATATGAAACTATCCCTCGAGTTCCATTTAGATTTTTGTTATTAAGGTTGTCTGATTTTTTTTCTCTCATTATATAATTCTGTAATATAAAATATTGTGTAACTTTGATTTTGATATTTTTTCTCTTTTTTTTCGAATCCATAAAGATCTGGACGAAGACGGCGATGATGACGATATAATCTTCAGTGATTTGATGGAAAATTTGATACAAAAAGATGTATTCAATAATAGTAATGACCGTACAGGGAATCATGAACAACAACGAAAACGACCTCAATCAGCTCGACAACCATCATCATCAACAATAACTAAAACAACAATCACAGCAAAAACATCGATGAATGAAATTCTGTTGAATCAGCATCAGCCTGAATTATCATCAAATAAATCCAACATCAGCAACAATCGAACAATAATGGCACGTACCAATACAGCAACATCGTTAGAAGCTGTATTTGAAGAGGATGATGAAGATGGACCAACAGATGAACCACAAAATGGTAGGTTGTCATAATTCTTTGATACCATTCTCCCTCAGATTCAACATTCAACCACTATTTCATATATGGCTAATGGCAAATAAAAAACCACATTTGCACAAATGTACTGAATTCGAATCATCATTCCCAAAATACAAACGCTGTTTTGTATTATCATAATAATAATTCTTCAATATACACCCCAATAGCAACCTACATTTGGAACAAGAAAAAAAATAGTTATTAATTATTACAATTAATCTTTATTAAATGGAAAAAAAAGTTGTTTGGTTCGCCATTACGATCGAAGTTAGTTCAGTTTCAGGCAAGATCAAAACATGTAGTGAGCTTTACATACATTATCTAATAATTTTTTCCACTTTTCCTAGTGTGTTCGAGTACTTTTTTTTCATTTTCGAGGATTCCATTTTAATATCCTATTCTTGAAAAATTTTCTATGTATATAAAAACTATACATTGCAATGGTTTATGTTGCTGTTGATAATAAATTGCATTTTTTTTCTTTTTTTTCTACGTTTTCGTCGTTTGGTTGGTATTTTCGTTCGTAAACGACAAAAAGACGAATCTTTTTCCAACAACAACAACGACGATAACACGGATAACAGCAGAATCAAGAATTCTGATCAAATGAGTCAAATGGGATTCATCATCCAGCCAACGAAGCCAACAGCAACAACCAAATCGGAAAAAGGCGAAAATAGTCAAAAATACTTGAATGAAAAACCGAAAGATACCGATATTAAAGCAGCCACTAAGGCAATATTATTAGATGGCGTGGAACAACAACAGAAACAACGGCAACAAATTAATGATGAACATCAATCATTGAATGGCATGAATGAAATAACCAATCTAAGCGACGAACGGTGGGATCAAGATGATGGTGAATATTCCGTAGTCAATGACGACGAAAAAGTTTTCGAAGATGATAATTATGAAGAAGAAGAATTTGAATCCGAATCAAATTCCATCCAACAACGGCAAACAGAATTGAAAAATAATAGCATTCAATATAGTGATAATAGTAATGATAGGATTCATTTGGATGTTGATAATGAATTCCAGCAACAATTTCAAACAATCACTGAACAAATGCAAATGGATATTGCAAATTTACGTGAAAATTTACGAAAAGAATTGAATGAAAGTAAAGAATTGTTGAGAAAACAAATGGATAATGAAATTCTTTCCATGAATAAACGAATGGATATGATTCACATTGAACATAACGATGAGCAAGTAAAATTATCCCGTAAAATTGATGGGCTCAATTTGTCATTCGATTCGATTCGAAAACAGCAACAACAACAAACGAATATAGCTGAAGAAATGGGTAACAAAATATTCACAAAAAAAGTAAATTCAATGATGAATGAAGTGAATGAAAATCTATCCGAACAATTGCATAGAATCAGTGCTAATCTAGATAAAACAATTACGAATGAAATCGAAAAAGTTTCCGAACAGATTGAAAAAAAATTGTTGACCAAACAAGAACAAACGTTAAGGCAGGAGTTATCACTTCGAATATCTGAATCATTGAAACAATACGAAAATCAAATGAGTGAAACGAATCATAGATTATCATGGGATCGAATACGAGATGAATTTCATCCGTTCATTGACCAATGTCGATTAATGGCCAACCAAAATCAGAAAAGTGTTGAAACTTTACGATCAATGATTGAACAGGATCGAAACTTTGCTAAAGAAAACTTTCATCGAATCGATACGAATATTGCTCATTTATTGAAAAAAGATAAAGAGAATTCAAGTGTGACTGTTTCGATGAATCGATCGTCGTCCGATCACCATCAGCATCGACAACAAATACATGATATGATCGATGAGGAAAGAGAATCATTGATGAAACGATTGAATGAATTGGATGAGAAAATTGAATCATTTATGCAACAGATCGATTCGAAATTGAATCATTTCGAAAAAACTATTCATCAATATCAACAATCATCTAGAGGTAATTCTATTCAGGGATATTTATTTTATTTCATTTCTTTTTAATCAAAATTCTGATTTTTATAATCGTTAGATTCGGATATTTCTCGGCAACAATCGATGAATAATAATGATAATAAAGTGCTGAGTGATTCAAAGAATTCCAATGTAGAAAAACTTTCAACCGTGATTATGTCTGAAGAAAATTACCGTAATGATAATGATCATCATAATCATTCAGGAATTTTTCCAACAACTTTGTGCAAAGAAAATTCGAATTCAAAAATAATAAAAGTCTATCAAAATAATGATGATGATGATGATTATAATCATTTGGTTCAAAATGATAATGTTAATGAAACAACTTTGATCAATTACAACAACAATCATCATCATAATGCTACTGATGGTTCAAAACAAATTCCAACAACCCGAACAGATAATGATAATAATTGTGATGACGACTATGGAACATTACCATTGACGAAAATTGTGAATAAAACTGCTAATGAAAAACATTTACAGCTTTTAGAACAGTGTAGCAATTTGAAAGATTTTTTGCAAAAATTTTATGTGATGAAAGTTGATGAAAATTGTATCGAAAAGAAAAAATCTGCCAAATCCAATATAGTTCAGCCAATAAAAATAAGGACAAAAGACTACGGCGGTGTTCGACGTAATAAACGACGTGATCAGCGATCAAAATTTGTTCATCGAAATATTAGGCGAAAATCTTCAGATGATGGCAGCGAATCACTGAGTAGATCGACGACTATCGAATCGAAACCTAGATATCAGTAAGTCCAATGATTGATTATTAGATTTAGGTAAATTTTTTTCTTTTCTGTAATTTTAGATCAGTGTCGACGCCAAATTTAAACTCATCATTACAGTTATCGTCATCATCAATATCATCAAAAGGTCACGATAATCATCCACATCGAACTGAAAGTCGAAATCATAATCATCATCATCATCGACATGGATATAGCCATGGTAAACATTTTATAGATACATCCATACGTCCAAATGAAACGATGATGAATCATCGATCATCGATCATATTCAAATTCACCTATAAAATTCAATTCAAAATATATCAATAATAATAATAATAAACAAGCTCAACATCGTGTTCGTATTGCAACAAATTCATTGATATCGATGATCAAACAGACTACTAATCAATTAAAGCAAGAATTGAATAATTTGGATATGCTTGGTGGTCGGTATGATGATGGTGATGATCATTTGCATGCCATGATACGAACATCATCATCAGTCAATCATGTTGATGATGATGATGATGATTTGTGGTTAAGAACACTGCCATTATCATCATCATCATTATATGGGCAAACAAATCGAATTTTGGAAAATAACTTTAAATCGACTAGTGACATGTTCAAATTGACCGCAAGGGATGATCAACAGCAACAAAAACAACAACATGAAGATCAATTGCTAATGTTACGAATGAAATCGATTCGTAATTCAGTCAATGATCGATTGATGAAGATTTCAACTGCTATTGAACAGCAAAAAATTACACAAATTTAAAAACATACAAGGAAGAAGAAGAAAAAAATCAATCAAATTGCTTCCTTAAACGTCGTCATTGAATTCAATTTGAAATTCCATTGAAATGACCAGATTCTTTTTGACTATCTAGGCGGAAAATTTAATTCTTTGATTGTGTTTGTATTTTTATTGGTGAAGGAAATTTATTATGGCCATATAGAATCATGTAATTCACTAATAGCAAACATCTCCGGTTAGTCAATTAAAATTCTTTTGAAATTCTAATAAATGAATGAATAAACGGATGATGAATTCATGGGTGAAGACAGCAATTGGGAAAAAAAGAAGAAAACAAATATCCTTGGAAATTCGGATACTTTCATTTATTGGTTCCGTCTGCGGGGAATTTTAAAACGGTGCAAACATTTACCGAATACAAAATGTTTTCTTTTTTCATTCTTGAATTCATTCTTCCTTTTTATGCATTTGAATTCAAAATGAATGAATGACAAACAAAAAAATCTAATTAGAAAAATACGACTGGGTTCAAGTCAAGAAACTTTTTTGGAATTTTCTTAAATTTTTTTTTCAAACAAATGCAAAAAAATCCACAGCTTTTTCTTTCATAAAAGAATAGTCTGGATTTTTTGGAAATATAAAAATGAAGATAAACTTTTTATTCCTTCTAAATACGAACACATTTTATTTTATATTTTTTTGTGATAAATTTGCAGTCATTTATTATTATACGTTATGTCTATTAAAAACGAAAGAAGAAAATATGGCCTTTAAACATTCTTGTCTGGTGAGATTTGAAACAAAGAAAAGTTCCTATACACACAAATACACTGTTCTTGATTCATTTGGACCATATTTCTCACAACTTTTTTTTCTTCCATTTCTTTCTTTATTCGCGAAAAAAAGTTTAATTAATTTTAAAAGTAAATAAATTTTTGTTGTTCCTTTGAATTCTGTGTGGCTGTTTATATTGACGAAATGATATTCGAAATTGAAACGCTGCTTTTACTCCCATCTAATGACTAATCATCGAAAAACGAGTTATAGTTCTCATCACAAGATGGCGACATGACGTTTTTCAAAAAAAAAAAAATTAATTTTAACCAATTTTTATAATTTTCTCAAAAAAAAGTTGTAATAATTTTTTAAATTCCTATATCAAATTCTTTTCAATCAAATTTTCACTTCATCAACAATAGATGGCTGAATATCGGCAATAGAATCGCTGATGTTGGTATCATCATCGGCGTTCGAAATGGGAGAACTGGAATCAGTCTGAATTCTTTGTCGACAATAATAACCAAGTTGTGTACATTTCTGACATAAATGTTGTGGATGTTCTTTGCTTTGATCACTAACATCTAGACCATCTGGTTTATCCAAGGGACGCTATTAAAAATACATAAAAAAAAATTTTGAAAATTTAATTCAAAGAAATCTATAAATTCAAAGACCAACCTGTTTATGTGGATATACCATTATTCGACAACGTACACACATTTGTCCACTATTTGCCCATGAATTACCGGACATCCATTTACGATGACAAGATGGACATTTGAATTCTCCAAAACATCGTTTCTTGCCTTGATATGGTGTCAATCCTGGAATTAAATACAAAAAATCAATTTTACTTTTATGCTCAAAACGAAAATAATATCCCAATTTATTGACCATCGATTTTTCCAGTTAATGATGATAAATCAATTATTGGTGGTTGTGATGTAGCAGCAGTAGGCATTGTTGTTGTAGTCGTCGGTTGTGTTGTCAAACCGAATGTTTGTGGTGATTCATGTAACAAACTTGTCTGATGGTGATGATGATGATGATGATGTGCATTCAGATGATCTGTTAATAACTTCGGTGTATGATCCAATAATTGATCCAATGATATTTGAGATAAATCAACAATTGTAGGATGGCCCGATGTATGCGATGGCTGAAGTGATGATTGCTGTGTTGCTGCAATCGATGTTGGATACAATTGTGCCGTCTGTAACGGAAATGTTGATATTGTTGTCGATGGTGTTGATGGTGATGAATCGGCTGTTGGTGATAGAAAAATTGTTGCTGGATTATATGGATGAGGATGTGATGAAGCAGCTGCAGCAGCAGCTGATGCTGCTACTGCTGCCGCTATAAATGATGATGTTGGATCAGTAGATTGTGTATGTAGATATGGATGATGATGTATACCCGGAACAATTTGATTCATAATTGTCATATGTTGTTGTTGTTGTGTGGATGATTGCTGTATCGATGTCGATGTTACCGGTGGATAAGAATGAAAAGGATGTTGAAGATGTTGATGATGATGATGATGAAGATGATGATTGACATTTGTATTCTGATCCTCGGTGGTATTCATTTGATTTTTAATGATTGACAATGAAAATTGAAAAATGCTATTAATTTTTTTCACAATTTTGTCATTAAACTCATTATAATAAAACAGACACAAAAAAATTGCCGTTTACAAAAGGATTAATATCTAACTAATAAATCAAAAAATAATTCTTGCTAGAAAAGAAAAAAATGTCACATACATGAATGTAAACAAGAAAAAAAAAATTTTTTGATGGCCAAAATAAACAACAACAAAAAAAAATTAAAAAAACAAACAGACAAAAAAACTGAATTTTTTTTCTATATCACAGACGATTCTGAAAAAAAACTATAGTGTATTATAACGTCGTGGATGCCGTCAACATATTTATAAATGTTCAAATCATTGACGATGGTGGTGATGGTGGTGGTGGTGGTGGTGGTGGTGATGATGATGATGGTCGTCGTCTGTCACAGACATATCGTCAAAATCATCATCGTATGGTTGACATATTTCAAAGACGGTTATTGTTTCCCATTTGACGATTAAATGAATGATGATGATGATGATTATGATTATGATAATCCGTTAAAGCCGTTTGGATCAAACCGGATAAAAAAAAATGAAACTCATATTTAGAATTTCAAATACACACATGAACGTTGATTTATTTCGCAAATTATATTGGTTTTTTTTTGCAATAAAAAAAATCATCATTCACAATTTAATTCAAGAGAAAAAAACAACAATTTCAATTTCTTTGTTGTCTGCTTACCAATCCATTTCCATCATCATCATCATCACGATGATGAACATCTTAGATGAATGAAACTTTGTGCTATATTGTATAGACATGAAGATTATTATCCTTCTTTTACTCTCGTATATCATGATGATGAAAACATCGACAACGAATTTTGTTTTCTATGCTTTTTTTTTGCTTTAATACATTGCCATCATTTCTACAACCATATGGATCTCTTTTTCTTGTTCTTCTTCGATTTTATTATATCCGCCATTTATAATTGTAAGCGGTAAATCGAAAGTTGGAGAAAATTTTTCTTTTTATTCAACTACCACCACAATGATGATGATGATGATGATGATGATGATAAAACAACAATCTTTTCCATCAATGCAATGATGCAAGGATATAAAGATTTGTTTCATTTTTTTTCCTGTATCTAAATCTAAATTTTCATCATCATCATCATCATCATCGAATATTGTTGTTGGTTTGGTGATGATAATGATTGTCAATCATGATGAAGAGAAAGTGAAGATGTTGTGGTTATGTTTGATATTGAGAAATTTTTAATGATGTAAAAAAAAAATTTTTTTTCTTTTTGTTAATGATTCGAAATAAAAAGTTTCAACTATTATTGTTGTTTATTCTTTTCAATTCTTTAAGTAAATTTTTATTTCATTTAACCATATCCATACTACCATCATCCTGATGATGATGATGATGATGATGATAATGATAATTATTCATATAGAGAGTGAAAGGGCATAGAAAATTTACATTTAGCATTGCATTCATTTTCAATGGATCATTTCTGTTTTTGTCATTTCAAACTTTAGAAAATGTTGATACTAATGATCAATGATGATGATGATCACCTATAGTGCGATATCATTATTTTCGTCATCATTGTTATTGACATTTCAATCTATGATGTAAAAATATCCGTTTTCGCAATCATTGATCCAAACAGATGATGATTTATTGTTTGTATATTCATGTGATTTTTTTTTGTTCCAAACATTTTTTTTCAGTACCATCATCAACCATAAGTTTTTTTCGTTTGATTGTTCTCGAATTTTTTTTCCATTCCTATTGCTATTTTTATACAAAATGAAAATGATTAATGAATATGAAATGATTGGCTGTATTATGTGTTTATTCTGAATGTTGATGATTATGATGAAAACTTTCTTGAAAATAGCAAACAGAATCTGTCAATCAATCAATTTGATTTCAATTGAAATGAACATCAATGAACATCAATAGGAAAAACAGATGAAAATCGGGAAAAATAAAAGTTTATTCAATCATCATCATTAAAAATTCTTTATTTTTTTCAAATGAAATAATAATTTTAATAGTTTCAAAGAATTGGCTGAAAATAGAATCCAGAATCTAGTCACTTATAGTTTACTTGGATTCATCGTTCATTCTATTGTTATATTCATGATCTCAATATATTGTTCATTTTTTGGCTTGATTTATTCATTCATTTATTTAACGAAATTTAAAAATTCTTTATTCACCTAGTAATTTATCATCATCTTGATGATCATTCTTTTTTTTATTCATTGTTGTCGTTTCTTCGTTGCTGATGATGATGATGATGATGATGATAATGGCTGATTCGACATTTTTATTTCTTCAGTATATTCATATTCAAAAGAACTTGTTGGGTTTTCATTGTCGATTTCAGAGTGTTTTTTATTGTTTTTTTTATATTATCCATTAGCCAAGTTTTTTTTATCATCCATTAAAACTTTTTTGCATGTGTGTGTGTATGTGTGTGTGGTATCAGTTTCATCATTAAAGAATCAAGTGAACAGAGAAAGATACATAAAGAACACTATTATTAGCCATTCATATTAGAATTCTTTCAATGTAGAACATGAAAAAAATTTGTCATTCATGAATCAACATTTCCTTCTTTTTGAATAATCAAGTCTCTTGATCATTTTTTTTTTACTTACACCATAAACCAACCAATGATGAAATCTAGAATCTGGATGGATGTAAAATTGAACAAATACATTATGATGATGATCATCATCATCATCATCATCGTCATCAGACACACACAATGTCTCGTCATCAACTTTGTCAATTATATATATACACACACACAAGAAATATTTGTCTGGTAATGGTTGAAATGAATTGTAATGAACAATTAGTTATGAGAAAAAAAAAAAAATGGAAAATGTACATTATTATTTTCGACCTCCATCAAAGCTTTCATTAAGTTGTTGTTGTTGTTGTTGTTATTTTTTTCTGGTAAAATCCAAAAAAAAAAGAATCCGGAAAATCTGGATTTAATTTAATTTTTTTCTTTTTTTTTCGTCATCATTTGGACATTCATTGCTGATGAATAGATGATAAATTATTATTTTTATCTCAATATACAAAAGTTACAAGTTATATCGATTAAAAAAAACCTAATAACATTATTCATTTGATTATGGTTATCCATTTAATGGTGGCATTTAATTTTGTTTTACCATTCATAAACTACTTTGAAATTTTTTTTTCTTTGTTTTGTTTGTTTGCACTTGCATGTGGTTGTTGTATTGCTATATTTAGAATTCTCAGGAATTCTATTGTCTAGATGAAATTGAAAACAAAAGCCTATGGATGTTCGTTCAGGAAACAAACAAACAGAAAAAAAACAAGCTTTCCATCTTTCGTCTTCAACAAAATGATTGATTGCTGTTAAAAATTCAAAATTCAAAATTTTTGCCACATATTTCATCAACAGATGGCGCCGTTTTGTTGTTTTGATTTTTTTTTGTTTACCATTGACGACCAATAGATGGTAATGTCGGTTCACCCGTATATCGAAAAAAAAAATCCTGGTTTGATGTTGATATATATATCATCACTGCTGACAAAAATATTGTGTACACGTGTCTCAATTTTTTTTTGGTATCAAGAATTCCAGAATTTTATTTTTTTAAACGAAATTATGTAAAGTTTGACTATTGTTTTAATAATCTCATTAAATCAATAACAGGAAAGATATGTCGTGCATTTTTCATCAAATTTTTACGTTCAATAATCTGATAGCTTTGTTTGTGATTATAATTCTTTCTGTTTTATTCATTTCGATATTGATTCGTTTGACAACAAGCCCATATCCACGAATTATAATTCATAAAGATGAACGATATTATCTGGATCCGATTTCTGGTGAACGTCATCCGTTGCCACAATTGGGAACAATATTTTTGAGCAAAAAACATTCAGTCACTTATCAGGATATTCAACCATCAACCCTTTACCTATCGGTGATTGTACCAGCATATAATGAACAGAATCGCCTGCCAACAATGTTGGATGAAGCGATCGATTATCTGGAACAACAATCATATAAATATGAGATAATCATTGTTGATGATGGAAGTCGTGATAAAACCACACAAATAGCATTGGGTTATGTACAAAAATATGGTACGGAAAAAATTCGTGTCATAACATTGGTGAAAAATCGTGGCAAAGGTGGTGCAATTCGAATCGGTATTCTAGCTGCACGTGGAGAATATTGTCTTTTTGCTGATGCCGATGGAGCGACGAAATTTTCCGAATTGGGAAAATTAAATCAATTCATTCAGGAAAGACGAAAATCATACAGTAAAACTGAACTTATTTGTATAGAGAAAAATTTTGGCAATGGATTTGATGCTCAAATGTTTCCAATTGCAATCGGATCTCGTGCTCATCTGGAACAGGAATCAATAGCACAACGATCATTATTTCGAACGATTCTAATGTGGGGTTTTCATTTTATCGTATGGTTATTGACAGTGAAATCTGCACATGATACTCAATGTGGATTTAAAATGTTTCCACGTACAATAGCACAAATTCTATTCACACATACACATATTGAACGATGGGCTTTTGATGTTGAATTACTTTTATTGGCCGAACGATTACGTTTACCAATCGGTGAAATACCAGTCGAATGGACCGAAATTGAAGGATCGAAAATTGTACCGGTATTTTCTTGGTTACAAATGGGTATCGATGTTTCATTGATTTTTTGGAATTATACAATCGGTGCATATCGTTATCCCAAAGCACCATTTGAAAAAATCTATGGTATCATGATACAACAGCAATTATTATGATCGAAGAAAAGAAAAATATTCGAATGTCATTTTGTATAGATAAAAATTCTATCTTTAATCAATGGAAAAAAATGAGAAAAACAAATAAACTTTTATTTATATAAATAATTTTTTTCAAATTCAATTCGAAGCTTCGATTCTATCTAATCGTTTCGTCAGTCTATTTATATTTCTATGTTTTGTTGATTTCATCATTGTTTCAATATTGATTAATTCATCCGGATAGATTGTTGATCCAAATTGTTTCCAATATTGCTTAGGCATTCTTTGATAAAGTTCATTTCGTGTTAACCAATTATAATCTAGATAGTTTTCAACTTTTAGAATTCGATCGCCAAATGTTTCATCTTGAATCGCTGAATGTTTGCCTTCTTCATTGACATCTAGCTGACATTTGAATAGAAATATTCGTGCACCTAATTTTTGTCGATCATCAACCACTTGTCTAGGATATCTATAACTATAAAAAGCCGATGGACAATTTCCAAAAAATTTTACAATGACACTGGGAGATTTATCTTTTTTAGATGGAAAACATTTTTCCAATACACGTTCGGCAGTTTGTCGTAATGATTTATCCATGTTGGCCTGATATTGTTCCTGTGGAAAAAGCCAATGTTCATCAGAGCCAAATTTTGTTTTGATCACCAAATAAAGATGTTTATCCAATGATCTATCAATGGATTTTTCATTATTGGATAAATCAGCTTCTATACAATAGAATAAAAACAGAATGAAACTAATTTTTGAAAATCAAATTAACTCACTTGTTACAGATTTGCCAAATTTAAATTGTTTCATTTCTTCAATCGAAGCTTCTTCGAAATCTTGAGCTGTTTGTTTGGCTGCTTCTTCCAAATCTTTTTCATCAACATTTACGCCGGATGCAATCCGTTCGGCACGACGTCTAATAAACAAATATATGTCAATTTCAGATCAATGTTACAGATTAATTGGCACTTACAAATCTTCGAAATGTCTCATTTCGTGATCAGAATAAAGACTATTAGCGAGTTCAAATTTGTTGAACATATTCTGTGTCCTTTTTTCAAGCCAATTCAATTCAGGCACAATCAATGGACATCGTTGAAGACAGATGCCAGCAAATAAATCCCATTGTGATGGATTATTACTAGATATAGATCGATAGAAAATTTGTTGACAAAATCGATTCACGCGAATACATTGAATCAATGCAACACGTTGTAAAGACATGATTTTTATGTCCAAAAATCGGAAAAATTTTAGTAGAAAAAATTATAAAAAAGTAAACACATGATTCTGTCACTATTTTTCTTCAACGATGTCTATGGAGTCAAAATAGACGCCGGTAAAATTTTATTTTTTTTTCTTCATCGATATTTTTATTCCACATTTTTTCCGATAAATTAGCAATAATTTTTTCTGACAAAAGTTCAATATTCAATCAAGCGTTCATGATTATAAATGAATGAGCTTATTATTGGTAAAAATTATGATCACAACATGAAAATGAATAATTGGAAAAATTGCCAAAAAAACAAAAATAACGTCTTTTTTCTAATTCTATTTTCAAAGTTTATATAAAATTCAAAATATATTTCATGAAATGCAATAAAAAGTGAGGGTTATTTTTTCTAACAAAAAACAACACATAACGCTCACCAATCCAGAACGAAGAAAATTAATGATTGTGATAACATACATATAGTAAACGACAAAGTCACCTAAATTCATATATGAAAATAAAAAGTATACCATGACGATGATGATGAATATTGGCATCCAAGTTGCGAACCAAATAATTATAATAATAATAATAATAAAGACAAAAAATGAGAAGAGAAAACTGAATTCGAGCCAAGAATCTTTGCACAGTATAACTGTATACAGCTTTGAAAATGAACTAATTCGAACTGAATACAACGAAAGCAATGTTACAACGGTAATAATGCAAATGAGAAAAAATATTTTTCAACTTTGTGAAAAAGTGGATGATAATTTTTTTTTTTTTTTTTTTTTGCAAATCTTCATTGTCGTCATTGCAATCTTGATGTTTTCAGCCAGAAATATACGATTCTTATGATTACCACCATCTTGTGATCTTTACGAATTTTCAAACATTACCGGTACACTTTGTGTGTTTGTCGATGACGACAATCATAATAGGAATTTTGTTCAATTTTCCTTGATAACAGCTTTACATTCATTGAGTAATAATTTTTTTTATTCAATGTTTTGATTGCTACTTTTCATTTCATGGCGACATCAATTCAAAGTCAATTATAGAATGAGAAAAAACCTACTTTGTTCAATGAACATTTTATGAATCATCATCCGATTTATTTTTGAATTTCCACTCTTGATCGATTTCATTATTATTGTCATCATGATTTTTGAAAAATGAAATTATTGTTTTTTATCACATGACCATTTATTGATAATAATCATCATGGCTACTACTGCATCGAAATTGATGGAAAAAGATGAACAATTGCAGCTGTGTATACAACGATTTGTTTCAGATACACAATCAATGATCAATCAATTCAGTGAACTATTCATTGGTGAATTACGACGTTTCGCTGATGTTTGTATGGAATTTTCCGTTTCTTATCGTAGCATACAAGAAGATCGTCAATTCTTATCGGCTGAGAATAAATCGCTCAAAGATGAACTTGATGCTCGTACCGCTGAAGTAGATTTTCTTGGTAAAGAACTTCGAGAAATACGAGAAGAAAATGATGAATTAATACGTAAGATTGAATGTTTGAATATAAATTCGGATGGAGAAATATCGATGATGATCCATCATGATCGACCTAGAGATTATGCTGTGTAAGTATTGAATTTTTGTTTTTTTTATTTGCCCAACTATTACGCCGAAATGATCGCTTGATCATGATCATGCTGTTGTTTTTTCTTGTAGGGTCAATTCTATGCCAGCATTTCCAAGACGATATTCCAGTGCTACTGGTTATGAGCCACCGGCTTCATCAGCTGGTAGCTATCATCATCGAGAAGAAGGTGTTCCAATTCAAGAAAACACTGAATTTAATTTAAGTACCGAATCATCGTTGCCATCAACAAATTCGAAAAATCAATTAATGCTCTTGACACCACCTATTGCTTTCAAAACAAATATTGCCAATAATAACAATATTGATAGCTCTAATAATAGAGGTAAATTATCGCCCTCAGGAAATCAAAGTAGTGATGAAACTTCATCAAATAATCATACAAATGAAACAATACGTTCGCATTCACGTGATGACATATCAACACTTTATGCTCATTTATTGAATCATGATAATAATAATAATAGCGATTCAGGTAGTAATCAACTAATCGGTGTAAATAGTGGTTCATCGAGGAATTCAGATCGATCACCATCGTTGGATGAAATACGTGGTATTGGTAATGCAAAAATCATTCAAATGGTTTATAATCAAACCAATGGATTACAAGAACAAAGAACATTATCAACGGCAGTTAGTTCATCAGCCGGTACATTCTACGATTGTAGCAGTATGTCAAATTTCGATAATTTAAATGATAATAGTATGTACAATTCAAATCAGCAACAATTACTTAAAACTGTTACAGATCAAATAAGGCAATTGTTCGGCAGACCGACGGAAACGATTAGTGACCAACATCAACAACAACAATCATCATCGATAAATACGACTATGGTATCACCCCAAGTTATTGTTTGCCATGGATCAAATGATGAAAACGATGGCGGTTTGATCAGCTCTCCTAATATTGGACAAAGTACAATGATTGACGGTGAAATGAAAAAACGTCATCCAACCGAAATCACCACTAATATTGATCAGTCATCAACAATCGATGCGATGTATGCGAATGCATTTATAGCGAAAACACCATCACCAAATTATTGTGATTATGGCCAACATTTGGATAAATATCGCTGTGATAATGATCATAACAATGATAAAGAATCTGGTGCAGGTGATGTCGATGAATTTTTGCTCAATGCTCCACCTGTTCAACGATATAATTCGAAAAAATTATCAAAAAAGCGTAAAAGTCGTCGACGAGCTGGAGCCGAAACGAACCGTGATAATGATCAACATTTATTACAACAGAATCAACCAGATATTTCGCCGACCATAATCATGCCATTAACATCGATCGATTCTATTTCAATAATTCCCTCACCGAAAATTGATCTAAATCGTTACCTACTAGTAGAGAATTTGTCACATTGTTTCACCATCGCATTTTTATCTTATAATCAATGATGAAAAAATCGGTACGAATGCATTCGAAGATTTTCTGGAACGATTTCAAAATTTTTACAAATCAATCGAAGCAATTGGACAAGATGGCAATGTGAATGATGATGATATTGATGATGTTGATGATGAAGAACGCCAGTTACGAATGTTGGTTAGTATACCACCATCAACTCAAACATTGACAATCGGTTCATATTGGGCATGCTATATTGATGATGAATTGGATTGGCGCCGTGTACAGATTATTGAACGATCCAATCTTGATGACCATTATAGTTCCGATAGTAATAATCATGATGAATTCATTATGGTCAAAGATGTTGATTCCGGTTATTCAAGCCTAGTGCATATACAAATGATACGGCCATTAACCTATGAAATGGCACAAGTACCAGCATTCGCTGTACGTTCATCATTAGCATTTATTTATCCACATCATCATCATCAACAACAGTCATCTCATGTCAATAATAGGCGTGATGATCAATACTATGATCAATGGCCAATGGAATGTTGTCAATTTTTTGAAGATATGACCTATGATCAGATATTGACAGCATCAGTTCTGCAAATAAATCATTCGAACGGACACCAACAATCATTGGAAATCAATGGAAATCTTGATGATGAAATTGCTCACGTATTACTTTGGTGTACATCAGCTGAAGATTATGAAATTTTCATCAATCGTAAATTGATTGAATTGAATTATGCAAGCAATGTAGCCGACGATGATTCATGGATGGATCAATTTAATGAAGTTCTTAATAATAACGTAGCTGCATCACCATCACCAGAATCACCAAATATCGAAACCTGTTTCAATATTCAACTTGCAAAACCGACAGATGAAACGGCTATTGTAGCTACAGTTTCACCACCTGCATTCCAAACAATAAACAATAATGATAATGCTCAACCTGAATCAAATGGATCAATGAAATCGATGGAAACAGCTCCTAACATCGAATATGTCAACCCTGTGGTAGGCAATAATGAATCGATCAATAGTAAACAAACGGATAGAAAAATTAAGATCAAAACTAGAAGTAAAAAAAAGAAAGGTTCATTGAACGAAGCCAAAGACGAGAACAACGAATGTCCCGATTCCTGCATCAATCGACCAGCAGTACCGATACCGATGATTGGAGACGTCGACGTCAACGGCCAACAACCATCCGTGACGAATACCAGCATCACCAACAACAATACAACGACAATCGAATCGGAAACGAATTATTCACTAGGCAAAACATCGAATTCGATAACCGTGAACAACGAAAAGATGATCAAAAAGTCCATTTGTTCATCTTCAGACAACCGTAGTTTTAAACACCAACAAGAGCCACATTCATTGTTACCACCATCATCTCCATCTCCTTCCAAATCACCGAATAGCTTGCTACAACTATCCATTGAACGTAAGTGTCAATCAAATGGTAGAAAAAAATCTACAAAAAAAAATTCTTTAGCATTATACTGATAATAATCAAATTGAATTCAATATCGATTAGGGAGTTCAACATGATTCATTTCAATTTTCATATGAATTCCTCTCCCTTGAATCAGAATCCACAAATGTTGAATGAATGAATTCAGCTAGCCGCTATCCAATTATCTGACCGCTTTATTATCTTTCTTATTATTTATTGTTTTTTTAATGAAAACGAATCCAAAATCAATCAACAATAACATAATGAAGATGATTACGACAGCAACAACAACAAGATGATTGCCGAAAACAGTTCAAAACGATTGCCGAAAACAGATGATTCACAACCACCACCATTGTATTGGTTGGCTGCAACATCATTATTCTTATTCATAATCAGCTTTTTCATAACATTCACAGCAGCCATTTCATCATCATCATCGTCATCGACTTTTATTTTTTAAAAAAAATTATTGAATTATGCTTAATTCAACAATCGATGCTGCTTGAGAATTATTGAATTTATAAAACAAACGTAGCAATGTTTAGTGCTTCTCAAATCTCAATGATTTAATAATGATTGCAACGACATTCTTTTGTGTGGAATAAAATGGAATATTTTTTAAATTTGTGAATTCTTCTCATTTCTCATGAATAGCTATAATTCAGATTAGTATAGCCATCCACCATTCAACCTCAATCCCGAATAACAACATCATAACCCATGAACAGAAAGAAATTGACTATTTGAAACAATCGATTGATGATTCTGACAATCATGATTCATCAATATTTGATCATTATTGTCATACATTACATCATGATCCACGATTATCAAGTAAGTTTTTTTTGTGTAATAAATGAGAATAATAATCGAATTGAATTGATTATTTTCAGATTGGATCATTCAAAAACATTCACGTCATGTTGTATTGAAAAAAACATTCATGCCGGACAAGATAAGCTATTTGTTGTTTATAAGCTGTTATTTTGAACCAAATAAATTCATTGGAATATTACCATTTGGTGAACGAAAAATTGATTCTGAACAATTAGGACAATTTGTACGGAACACACAAGAATCTCAAACACCATTCCGTCAATTTGTCAGTGATATGACGTAAGAAATGTAAAATGTAATTGTCTTCTTTTGACTAATTTTCATATTTCAGAGAATTTTATCGTCAAGAACAATCATCATCTTTACGACTTTTACCCGAACAATGTGTATTCGAACAGAATAATACAAGCAGTACAATTGTATTCTATGATCAACAATCCGGTCTTTTTCTTCGTGGGCATATTGTCGGTCGTGATATGATAATGGAATCACAAAATGTTGATTATGATAAACAACAACAGCAACAAGAATCAATAACTGAATCAAAAAGCGTGAAAGATTTGCTCAAAGTACCTAACGATGACAATGATGATAGACCAATGAAACAGAAAAAAACATTGTCACTAAGACGTCGTTCATTACATGATTATACCACACGATACATTATTTATGCCATTGATGTTGGCAGGTATTTTCAAGTACCATTGAAACACATTTATCATCTGGATGATCGTTTCAAAATGGCTAAACCATTTGCTATTGTATGTAAACTACATGGCTATCCTAATAATAAAAGGTTTGTGTAATTTTCTACTATTCTTCATCTATTTATGAATTTCTTTGATTTTGGTTTTAGCAAATTATCGAAAATAAGATCGATAATAATGGAAAAGAAATTTTTCGGTATTCGTTTTATTGATATTGATTTCAGCACCGAACGTTTTGCCGTTGAATTATTTACGGTCAATCTGAAAGATGAGGAATCCAGTTTTAAGATGAATCGACCATCTTCATCATGGCGAACATCATCACCGTTGATAAGCAAAAATTTGATTCATCTTATCTAATTTTTGTGTATTCTTTCATTATTTTTAATTTGTGTTTGATATTCTAAAAAAATCGAGCCAAACATGAAAACTCACGATGAAAAGTCCCTCCCACTGATTTTCCCTCCAAACTTAAATTTCGCGCTCTTTTCATGCTCCGCCTTCGAGTTTTGTCTTGTTCTGATGGTCGAGTATAAAAAAGCGATTCACACCAAGTCTCGTTACTCATTTGTTGATTGGTATTCGAGACGTTCGTATTTTCAGATTGAAAACAAAATAAATCAAAATGGCTCGTACAAAACAAACAGCCCGTAAGTCAACTGGTGGTAAAGCTCCACGAAAACAATTGGCAACCAAAGCTGCTCGTAAATCGGCTCCAGCTACTGGTGGCGTAAAAAAACCACATCGTTATCGTCCAGGTACTGTTGCTCTTCGAGAAATTCGTCGATACCAAAAATCGACTGAATTGCTTATCCGTAAATTGCCATTTCAACGATTAGTTCGTGAAATTGCTCAAGATTTCAAGACTGATCTTCGATTTCAATCATCGGCTGTAATGGCATTGCAAGAAGCTTCGGAAGCCTATCTTGTTGGTTTGTTTGAAGATACTAACTTGTGTGCTATCCATGCAAAACGTGTAACTATTATGCCAAAAGATATCCAATTGGCTCGCCGAATTCGTGGTGAACGTGCTTAAATCTATCAATTTTCATTCTATTCTAATTCATCATTCATATACAAACGGTCCTTTTTAGGGCCACATTTTTATCCAATTGAGATTCGAGCATTTTTTAATCTTTGTTATTTATCATTTTGTCATTTGAATAAAATCATTTAAAAAAAAATTTTGTTTCTTAATAACATTTGGAATTAGGCCTAGAGGTCTGCTATTACGAATTTGGAAAATGAGCTTATTTGAAAAAAAGTTTACCATGTGAATTGAGTGAGTCAAAGATTATGAAAATAGAAACCGATTTCTCGAGTTTATTTCAATGCAATAAAGGACGACAAACGAAACATGATTCCATTGCTTTTGCAGTTTGATTTATTTTATTTAGAAAATTTATCGAAAGAAAAAAAACCGTTTTTTTTGTCATGCCAGACCAGGCCAGATTTTATTTTGTTTTGCTAGTATGAAGCAATGCTAGTTTTTTTGGCGCAAACTTTGATAAAAATCAATTATTCCTTTTGAGTACAAAAAACAACCTTTGCTATCACCATGCAGTTTTCGCGCGAAAATCGACACCGATTTGACATGCGCTACGACAAGACTGAGTTCACTCGAGCTCTACTCTACGAGTATATAAATCCAAGCATTGGCAATCCAATCTTCACTTGCTATCTCTTGTATTTCGTGTTTACTTCAATTTTTTTTTTGACAAACTCTCGAAAATCATGTCTGGCCGTGGAAAAGGTGGTAAAGGTCTCGGAAAAGGTGGCGCTAAACGTCATCGTAAAGTTCTTCGTGATAATATCCAAGGTATCACAAAACCAGCTATCCGTCGTTTGGCTCGTCGTGGTGGTGTAAAACGTATCTCTGGCTTGATCTACGAAGAAACCCGAGGTGTCCTCAAGGTTTTTCTCGAAAATGTTATCCGTGATGCTGTTACATACACTGAACATGCAAAACGTAAAACAGTCACTGCCATGGATGTTGTTTATGCTTTGAAACGTCAAGGACGTACTTTATATGGTTTTGGTGGTTAATTCCATTTTATCATTCACATCATTTTACAATTTGTATCCATCCATTCATCATGTCATAATACATTTCATCAAACGGTCCTTTTAAGGACCACCAATTACATTACGAATAAGAGCTATTTTTATTTTGAATTTATTTTTTTATTTGATTTTTAAATAAAATAAGATTCTGATCATTATTTCTTTGTCTAAATTTTAATCAGAACAATGAGAAAACTATTTTCATGGGTTTGGAAAAATCTGTTTGTTTTTTCCATTTTTTTTTTTATTTTGGTTATTTCGGTTGTCATATGTTGGTTTGTTTTCTATTTCAACCTTTTTCGGTTATATTATTACAAATAAAAAACTTGATCGAGTAACAACTTTGAATCACAAAATTAAACAAAAACATAACCCCCTGATCTGCAACTCAAATTTTTCGCATATTCTAGTGATGATAAATAAATCAAAGTGTTTCAAATGATAAAATTATTTACGAAATGAAAATTTTATTATACAAAAAAAATGCTCAAATTCGGTAAATGAATTGTGGTCCTGAAAAGGACCGTTTTATATGATGATAATGGATAAATGTAAATGAAATTGAATGAAAATGAAATTAAGCAGTTTTTTCGGTTTTTTTCGGCAACAATACAGCTTGAATGTTGGGCAACACACCACCTTGGGCGATGGTCACACCACTCAACAATTTGTTCAATTCTTCATCATTACGGATGGCCAATTGTAAATGTCGAGGAATGATACGGGTTTTTTTGTTATCACGGGCTGCATTACCGGCCAATTCCAGAACTTCAGCGGCCAAATATTCAAGAACGGCAGCAAGATAGACTGGAGCACCAGCGCCAACACGTTCAGCATAATTGCCTTTACGTAACAAACGATGGATACGACCAACCGGAAATTGAAGACCAGCTCGGGATGAACGAGATTTGGCTTTGGTCTTGACTTTACCGCCTTTACCACGTCCAGACATTGTAGATTTGATTTTTGGTAAATGAGCAAATGAATAGCAAAACAAAAAAAAAATTCGAATGTTAGAAATGTATTGCAATGATTTAGCTTAAATACTTTGTGTTTCACTCGAAAAGTGGTGTACGTAGCAAAAACGCGCCAAATTTTTTAGCTCCTCCTTTTTTGAAACGTGATTGGTTCGTGCTGCGTATACCACTTAGAATCGTATATAAGTCGAAATTGGATGGCAAAAATCATTATTCTGTCTGTTTGGTTTTTTCGATCAACAACTGGAGTTTCAACAACAAATCTGCAACAATGGCCCCACCAAGCACTGGTAAAGCTGTCAAAAAATCCGGCAAAGCCCAAAAATCTGTCCGCGCTACGGACAAGAAGAAGAAACACCGTCGTCGCAGGAAGGAATCTTTCTCGATCTACATCTATAAGGTGTTGAAAGCAAGTCCACCCGGACACCGGTATTTCATCGAAAGCCATGTCAATCATGAATTCGTTTGTGAACGACATCTTCGAACGAATTGCTGCTGAATCATCGCGTTTGTCACATTACAACAAACGAACAACCATTACATCGAGAGAAGTTCAAACGGCTGTCCGACTTTTGTTACCTGGTGAATTGGCCAAGCATGCCGTATCCGAAGGAACCAAAGCCGTCACCAAATATACATCCAGCAAATAATAATTTCATTATTTAATTCATCATATAAAACGGTCCTTTTCAGGACCACAATTTAATTACGAATAAGAGTATTTTTTTAAACTTTCAATTGTCCATTATCATTGTAATGTAACATTCTGAAAATTCAATTTTGCTGACTATACACCAGTAATTTTCAACTATTGGTCATCGAATAAACGATTGTTTTAGTAACTTAAACAATGACGGTTGATTTAGAGTTTGCCAAGTTTAGACGGTCGTTTTGGAGCGAAATTTTGTTGTTATTCTGCTCAGTAGCTGCTCTGTCTGAACTGATTGTCATCTGGTGTTAAAAACTAAAAACTATAAATCAACCATTTTCCAATAGATGGCAGTGCTAATTTAAGCTAAAATATTGCCAGTGTGTTATGAGGCAAATAATAAAATTGGTCAAACTTATTATTCGATTTGTGGAACAATCTGGAATTCTCATAACCGACATTCTCGTTTGAAATGGGAAGAATATTTTCCCGGTTTTTTTGCATGCGTTGCCGATGGCTACACCAGAATCAAAATCTATAATTGTCGACTGAAATTGAATAATTCCACTATAATTATCTCATGATGAAAATGTTCCATATTATTTGGTTTGCTACCAATTCTCAGTAAGCATAAAATTATTTTTATACTATCATTTTTAATGATATTTTTTATTTTTTACTTGTCCATGTTTCGAAATCGGATGCAAATGATCTCCATGATCATCATATAAAAAGAAAACAATAACAACACATCTATCAAAACTACTTGTTGGAAATTATCATAATGATGATGATCATCATCAATGGATTGTCATTCAATCATCATTTATCAATATGAAACTCAAATTATAAATATATTTTCATGAAACGAAGACGACGACTACGATGGTGGTGGTGGTGGTTGTTGGTAGTTGATGATTAGAATCGTCAATCATTTTCTCGTAAAAAAAACTTAATGGTCATTGAAAGATGATTATTGCGAACAAAACAACAACAACAACAAGACGATGTGTGTTCATTACAATTCCTATTGTTATTTTTTTTTTGCTGCTGCTGCTGCTGTCATTTTTTTGAAACTGTCAGCCAACCACTTTATTTTGCTGTGGGCTTTTCGTTTCTTTTTTTTTTTTTTTCTTTTAGATGATGATGATGATGATGATGGATTCACGGTAATGGCGCGAATGATGATGTTCACTTATCATTATCATCATCATTTTGGTGTGTAACCTTGCACTTTCATTCATTCGTGATGAACATTAAACATTGAATTCGTGTTTGTGTCTGTGTGTGTGTGTGTCGATCTATTCCGATGATCATGGATTGAGATGGCAATAATAATAACAAAATCTCATTTTCACCAAAATAAAAGGGGTTGTCTACTGTCATTATATTCTTGAATTTTTTTTTCTTCATCGATTTGATTGAAATTGAATGGTTTGACAATTCAACATTTTGTTCTTTGCATAGTGTTAGATATATTTCGTAAAAGTTTTGAAAAATAAGTGGCGATCAAAAACAAGTATACAATATTCTCATGGTCATCGAATGCGAAATCAACCCTTTTTTGTTTGTTTGATTGTTTCAGTTTTTATTTGAATTGCTATTGAATTTGTTTTTCTCTTTTTTTTTTCTTCGATCATAAATCATTATTACTATTACTATTTGTTTGTCTTGAAATTATGGAGATTACACCTAATGTCAACTATAGTGTGTAATGAAAAATGGCCAAAAAAAAATTAATGTGTAAGAATCGTTTCGTCTTTTAAATGAAAAAAAATTCATTACAAATTGACAGAAATGAATTTGATAATAATCTATAGATTATGGCTTTTGTTCGTAGATGGCAGCCTGAGTTCTAATTCTTCTGATTATTGATTTTTTTAAAACCAAATCCGATAAACGATCGATAAAAAAAAATAATGAAAAAAATCGACCATTATGGTTTATTTTTTTTTTTTTTTTTTTGATCAATTTATTTGGTGTCGATTTTTCTTTCGTTCTGTTTTATCCACACTACACAAACGGTATATATCGGGTCATCGACTGATATCTGGTACACATTGAGCTATATATCGTCATCATCAATCATCGATCACTAGCCAACATTCTTTAGCTGCCAATAATCGAAAAATTATTTCAGTATTGGAATTGAAAAAAAAAATAGGAAAAACAAATTTGCCGGTTGCTCTGGTTGTCTTTTCTAATTGATGAAGCTTATCAACCATTGACCTAATGAGATAACTCGTTGAGAACCCGTAAAATATAACAACAACAGCGACAATTTGATGTTGAAGTTGAAGAGGCAAAATCCTGGTTTCTATCTATCTATGTGTGTGTGTGTTTAAATGTCTCACAAAAAAAATATCAACAAAAAAATCATGGGAAATGTTTTCATGTACAATTTTTTCCAGGTTACACCATTTTTATTCTGACAAAAAAAAATTATTGCTGTTTTCATGTATGGTTTCCAATAAATAATAATTTACTTTTGTCATTTTTGTTGTTGATTCATATTGATTCAATTTGTACAAACACAATTCCTAATTGTGTTGTTGATTGTTTGATTCACACAACTGTGAATGGATCCAAAGTAAAATGGAAAAAATGTCATTATTATTGTTTCCTATTGTATCATCATAATATATTTATAATATAAAAAAAGATCTCTGACCGAAACATTTATTGATTGATTCCCATTGTATGGTTACCATACGTACGGATTCAGTTGGGACATGTCCAGAATTTTAAAGATTTTTTTTCAGATAAAATTATTATGTGATTTGTTTTTTTTGTGGCTCAAGAAATGAATATATAATCATCATCATTGCAATGGTTTTTTTTTCTTTTACAATTTTAGCCTTATGATCATCAATTAGATGATTATCGAATCACATCAGTTTTTTTTTGCTTTTAAATTGAAAAAAAGTTGATAGAATGATAATGAATGATAAAATCAACCAGTAAAATTGATAGATTTAATCTACGTTAATTTTATCTGTCTACCTTCTGGAAATCAAGGAAAAAAAATGTAACTTTGTTATTCTCAAATCAAACGATATGTCTTCTCATTGATGCCTGTGCTGTTGTTGTTTTCGTTGTTGATGATGATTATGATGAGATTGATTCGGTTGGAAGAAAGCAAAAGTTTAAAAATGAACCAGACATTTGTTTTTCCTATTTATTTTTATTTATATTTGAAACAAAAATACGCAATCAGTATGACAAAAACAAAGTTGAATAACAAATTTATCCGTCTCGTATATTTGTCTTGTGATTTATCGTCATAAAAGTGAGATAAATAAAAAAAATGTTTGAAAATCTCAATTTTTTTACAAAGATAAGGAAAATGGTAAAATTAACGATAAAAAAAATTGATGTTAAGAATGATATTGAGAATAATGCGGAAGTGATTGTGGTAGTAGTAGTAGTAGTACCTTTCTTTCATTAATTTGTGACATAACGTAAATCCACACACATATATACCAATATAATTGGATTATCATTCCAGAATGAAAGAATGATTGACGAATCATTTTATGACACTATTGTTACTATGATCGGACTAGAATACTTGCCTGGTTGTCATCTTGATTCGTTTTTTCTTCTGATCACCATCATCGTTAGGGAAAAAAATATCGAACGACAGGCAAAAACAAAAATCATCATCACTATCAACAACAACAACAACAACAACAGCCGACAAATTTATTGGAAATCAGTGTATGTGTGTTTTTAATGATATGAATACGAATGACATAGATGATGGTAATGATTAAAAATGATTTTTTTTTTTTTTTTTGAATGAAATCGAAGAGTTTTCCTATTAGTTTGATTATCATTGGTACAATCATTGATAATAATAATAATAATAACGTAAAAACCAGTAAATCCAGACATTTTTAATATTGGATAGTGAAAATAAAATAAATTTTTATCATTATCAAATCATAGTCTGATATTATTATTTTTAATGAATGAATCAATCGAATTTTTTTTACAACAAAAAAAAATCTTGGTTAACATCATCATCAACAACAACAACAACAACAACAACAACAACAACAACAAAAAGCGTACATTCATTGGAAAAAAAAATTTCTTCCTCAAATTTATGAGGGAAAAATTTCCAAGAAAAATCTTGAAAATTTTAAAAATCTTTAAATCAGTATTATTATCATTATTTGGCCACAAATTACAATTATCAATGGCTAGATAGATGAATGAATGAATGAAATGAATGAAAAACTAAAATGAGATGAACCAGGTGGATTTTCAAAAGATTTTTTTTTTCTGTTTTGTTTTCACCAATTTCACAAATAAAGTTGATGTGTGTGATGTGTGTTGAGAGAGAGAGAGAGAGAGAGTTATTCTGAACAACAACAAGTCTGGCAATAGTGAATCTCATAAATACATAATCAGTAATCATTATTTTTTTTCTGATGATCAACCAACTTACTAGACCGAAAGTGAAAATTCAGGTAAAAGAAAAAAAAATGAAAAGAACCTTGACTTTCTCTTTAGTTGTTATGATAATAATAATAATAATAATAATAAAAATTCGAAATTCAAGAATGAAAAAATGATTTGTCTGTGCCAGTGTTCAGAAAGTGTGTTTCGGTGTGTGTATGTGGCTGATGGCAAAAAATAAAAGATGTGCAAAAAAGATTGGCAATCACGACAAAAACCAAGCCTAGTCAAGCAGGTTTTCAGGTTTATTTTTTTCATCTAAATTCAGGTATTTCATTGAAGTTGAAAGCAATTTTGAACAGACAATGCCATCATCATCATGATCATAATAATTTTTTTTTCTTTTGATGATGATAATAGTGTTTCGTAATAATAATATTTTCGTGAAGAAAAAAAAAATGATTATAAATTCGTCTGTTCCAGTTGGCAAAAAATCAAGCAGTTTTTTTCTGGTTTTAGGTGGGTAGAAGACAAAATTTTACAGAAATGTTGAAATACATAAACACAAAATGTGAATGTAAAGATGAATTTCTGTTCGTATGGAATAAGTATTTATTCGTTAAAATTGATGAAAACAAATTTTGAAGGTCAAGGCCTTGCCTTTCGTTTTTTTTCGTGTTTTGTGTGTGTGTGTGTGTGTGTGTACTAGACGGTAGACACGACATTTGTTTTCATCATTATCATCATCTATTAACGTCATTAAATAGAATCGTTTTACATTTTTTCTTTTTCGTCGTTATTGCATATTTAATCCCCATGTGATTCGTCGTCGTCTTCTCATTCTCATCATCATCATTTGTCATTCTTTTGCAAAAATCTTGCTCATTTTTCTCATATTTCATTAATAATAATAATAATGTTTATAATGTGGATTTATAAAAATGAATCTAGCGAAAATTTTTTCACTTTCAATTTGGATTTTTACTTTTTTTTCCTTACTCATTTTTGTATCGAATATTCATATATTCATTCAAACTATTGAAAAAAAAACTGAAAACCTAACCATCTAGCCATTAATCCGGTAGTCAAGTGATGGTATATAAATTCTTGAATGTGATCATGGCCTTGGTTAAATATTAGAGAAAGCAATATATACTATTCAGCTAGAAAACCCAGAATAGATTTCGCGTTTTTTTCCACTGTTCATAATTTTTCTCATTATTTTTGGGTATGAGAGAAAAAAAAAAGAAACACAAAAAAATTAATCACTTGTTTGATTCAAATTTATTTACATATTGACAATTTTATTTTTCAATGGGTAAACTATGTAAAAAATGCGGAATAATTTTCTTTTTTATTTTTATTTTTGCATTGCGTCAGTGAAGAAAGAATCAGTGTTCAAAATGTTTTTTGTATTGCGAAATAGAGGGATGGAAGGAAAATTTCCAGATTTTTAAGAAAAAAATACTTTTCCATTCATCATCATCATCATCATCATTTAAACTAAATTTAGGTTGTTTTTTTCTTCTAAACCGTAATTCGATCAACATTCGAACATTATCATCATCATCATCATTATCAACGACAGTCGATAGCATTAGCATTGGATTTCAAATTCAACTTTGAATGATAATATCATCTTCTTCATATAATCGATTGATAGCTTTCTTCGAATTTGTTTTTTTCTTTTTCACGAAAAAATGTATCAAAATTAAAATTTAAATGTTTACAGTTATAATTATTCATTTACATAATGTAAAGGTATTTAATGATTGATGATTGAATTATCAATTATTTCAATCATCAATAAACAAAACTAAAATTGAGTGGTGAAGAAAATCTTTTTTTAATGATCATCATCATGCACAGATTACAAAGCAAAATATGAAGGAAAAAATAAAATTCCACCATTTTATTATTTCATCATCAGATCATTTAAATGAAGAATACACATATACAATGCAATATTAGTTACTGT